GAATCTTTTTTTCTGTTTCGTTTCTATGGCAACTGTGAGCGACTCATTACAATTTTTTTAAAAGTAGAAATCACTTTGACACATTGCAAGGAATAAACACTGAAAGTTTCAAAACGATTGCCTGCGTAGTTATTGAGAAAATCGAAATTAAAGAATTTTAACTTTCACCTGGTTTCCATGACAATAATCGATTATTTGAAAATTTTAAATGCGAGTTGCATAACTACAGATACTAATCATTAAAATAAGAAAAGTTTCATGACGAACGTTTAAGGGACCAGAGAGAACACTCTCGGACAAAATTTGTCGCTTTTTACAGGTTTCCATGGCAACGGTAGACAAATTGGAACTGAACAACCTCACTGCACAACTACAACCAGTGATCGTCCTTTGAGGAAAGTTTCAGGAAGATTGTCCCAGCCATCTCCGAGAAACAGCCTGGATAAAAAAAAACATGCGTACAATATCAATATGTCGTCCCCGACTTCGTTCGGGGCGACATAATAACTCCTGAATTTTTCCCATCAATAACTCCTGAATTTTCCACTTCAATTCGATCATTTCTGTATTGTACAGGTCTGATGTTTCTTATGAGATGATAAATCATGTGTAAACTTTCTCAGTTTAGCGGAATCATGAACATTTTCGGCATTTTGCATTGTAAACGTCCCGCATGCAAACTCAAAAGATTAACATTTTTTTTCACTTATTCATTTATCTTGTGGGGTTTTTTTAAACAACAAAACCGTATATGGCTGACCAAAATAGTCAACAAAACAAGAGCAGCAATAAAAGTAGCAACCACTGAATAACACTACCTGTGTTAAGTGTAAGTTTCAACTAAGTTATATGTCACTTCTAACTTCCAAATACATTTCTGAAATATATGTTCAACATAGCAAACTACAAATCTGTCTCATAATCATGCAACCAACTGGGAGGTTTACGATTTCTGCTAGGGCGTTGGGACACTGGGAGTTCATCATTTACGCTTTCGTCAACATCATCACTCATAGGACCAGTGTCCTCAAGAGCTTCACTCGTTGAAAACGGCTCGTTGTTGTCCCCTGATAAAGTCTGCGCATACTTTTTCCGCATTCTGTCAACATGAATGACCTGATCTGATCCTCTTGGACCACAGTTGACTAGATATGTCAGGTCAGACATTTGTTTAACCACCTTAAATGGACCTCGCCAATAACTTGTGAACTTGGGTGAGGTACCTGGTTTTCTCCTTGGGAAGAAAACATAAACTTCTTCACCCTCTTCGAAATTATGCCATTTCAATTTTTGGTCATGGTAATGTTTCTGCCTGACCATTGCCTGATTCATCCTTGTTCTCACAAATTTATGAGCGTTTTCCAGGCGTTCTTGTAGATACCATGGCCATTTATTGCTTGGCACCTCTTTTATTGATGGAGGCATCTCGTACATTAAATCCAATGGCGTCGACACCTCTCGCCCAAACATCATCATATTTGGTGTCATCCCTGTTGTCTCATGTATCGAGCTTCGATATGCCATCATCACAAAAGGAAGATGGACATCCCAATCAGTGTGGTGCTCGTTAACAAAACCACTTAGCATTGTTGTTAATGTTCTGTTGAACCGCTCCACCATTCCGTCCGACTGTGGGTGGTACGGAGTGGTGTGGTTTACTGGATGTCCAACAGTCTGCACATTTCCTTAAAAAGGTTGCTTTCATACTGCGGACCCTGATCAGAATGTATGGTGGCTGGTACTCCAAATCGGGAAACGACTTCTTCAACAATCTTTGTTGCGACGGTTTCTGCCTCCATCTTTGGCAATGCAAATGCTTCCGTCCACTTTGTAAAGTAGTCTGCCACAACAAGGATATACTTATTCCCATTTGATGTCATTGGCAGTTCACCTAACAGATCAGTCGCTAGTCTTTCCATTGGATACCCTTTGAAGACTAAATGCATCAGAGCTTTGTTGTTTTGTCTAGGTGCTTTTCTCTTGGTGCACACTTCACAGCCGCGAACATAAGAATGAACATCCCTTTGGAGGCCTGGCCAATAGTAAGATTGACGGATTCTCGCAAGTGTCTTGTGGATACCAAGATGGCCCGCTGTCCTCGAGTCATGGTAATGTTTCAAAACATCCCATCGCTCCTTCTTCGGGACAATGGCTTGCAAAGTATCCTGCTTTGTAACAAGATCTGACCACCTTCTATAAAACATTCAATTGTCAATGACCAGTCGGTCCCACTGAGAGCAAAGGGATTTCACAACAAAAGATTCGGACGCAATTTCATCATTTTTCGGTTGCTTTCTCCTTTCGAGCCAAACTTTTACCTTTTTGATATCCTCATCTTCATCTTGAAGAAATTTCAAAGGCTTTTCTAGGATCAACTTTGTTTACGGCTTGGTGAGTCAATTCACTATGGCTGACTTTACACTGCTTGCATGGCAATCTACTCAGACCATCCGCATTACCATGTAGTCTACCTGGCCGATGTTCTATTGTGAAGTCATATGTGGATAACACGTCCATCCACCTAGCAAGCTGTCCTTCGTGGTCCTTAAAGTTCATCAACCATCTAAGGGCGCTATGGTCTGTCCTTACCGTAAATTGTCTGCCGTATAGGTAATGTCTAAAATACTTGATGAAGTGTACAACAGCCAGAAGCTCTTTTCGGGTAACGCAATACTTTCTTTCGGATTTAGAAAGGCTTCTGCTGGCAAAGGCAATTGGTCGTTCAACACCATCAATACTGCACCAATTGCAAATTGACTGGCATCAGTATCTAGGATGAATCTCTCATTAAAATCTGGATGGGCCAAGACAGGAGTTGTTGATAGCTGTTTTCGAAGATTGTCAAATGATACCTGGCATTCATCAGACCATTTGAAATTAATACCCTTCTTTGTCAGATCATGCAATAGCTTGGCAATATTGGCAAAGTTTTTGACAAATCGCATATAATAACTGCAGAATCCTAAAAATGATCTTAACTCTGATACATTTGAGGGTACCTGCCATGTCTGAACGGCCTTAATTTTATCAGGGTGTGTAGCAATCCCATTCTCAGATACGACGTGTCCCAAATATTCTGCTTCTGTTGAAAATAGAGTGCATTTGCGAGGCTTGAGCTTTAGTCCTGCAGCTAACAATCGATCAAACACTTGTGTGAGATTTGAAATTATGTCTCCTACCGTTTTCCCAACAACAATGATGTCGACAAGATATACAAGGCATATCTGCCATTGCAGACCTCTTAGCACAAGCTCCATGAGACGCTCAAACGTCGCAGGGGCGTTACAAAGCCCAAAGGACATAACTTTTAAACTATAAAGCCCTTTTCTGGTTGCAAATGCAGTTTTGGGTCTATCTTTTTCTGCAACTTCCACTTGCCAATACCCGGCATTTAAGTCTAACGTGGAATAATACTTGGCACCCGATAACTGGCCTACGGAGTCATCTATCCTAGGAAGAGGATAAGCATCTTTGACAGTTGCATCGTTTAGCTTCCTGTAGTCAATTAAGAAAAGTATATTTAATTTTATATGGAAAAAGCGCGATAGGATTAAAAGAGATTCTGTGATCGGAAAACAGGAAGATGGTGGAGTAGGTGTGATAGATATTGAATTGAAATTTAAGGCCTTAAAGGCAGCATGGACTAGATATTTAATAAAAGAAAACAGTATAATCGGCGAAATAATAAGAGGATATTTAAATCGCCTTAATATTGATATTAACTTTCTATTAACATTATCAGAGACAAAACCCTCAGACTTTCAAATCATTTCAAACCTTCCGGTTTTTTATAAAGAAGTATTTTGCAGTTTTAACGATTGCAAAAGATACATAGATGAAACGAAATTGTCTAATGTAAGTTTTGCTCAACAACCAATATGGAATAATAATATGTTTAAATATGAAAACAAAACAATATGTTTTAAACATTGGAACAAAAGTGGGATAACACATATTAAAGACCTTTTTAACAAAAATGGTAAATTTAAAACTCTACAAGAGTTGTCCGGTGATTTAAAACAAAAATCAAATTGGATATGTGAATATAAAATAGTAAAAACAGCAATCTATAAAAAATCTTTAAGATTCAATATGACTTGTTGTGCATACATACAAAATATAGGGAAGTGTTATTTTAATTTTGTAAATGGTGTACATTGTATTGAAGATAAAAAATGTAATTTTTTTTACGATAATTTATTCTTTAAGAAATTTAAAGCTCCAGGCCATCAATTTATGTATAAGAAACTATTTTCTGTTGCTCAAGAGAGTTGGAAGGATATATATAGAAACAAGGTTAAGGATATCTATGACAAAAGAATATGTGAATTTAATTACAAATTGTTGAATAATACATTGTGTTGTAACAGTTTTCTTTTTAAATGCAAATATAGAGCTTCTGCTTTATGTAATATGTGTGATGAAATTGAAGATAATAGACATTTAATTTTTGATTGTGAACATGTTCATATACTGTGGAAAAATATGAGTTCTGTGTTAAATTTTGGTGTTCAGTGGAAGCATGTCGTCCTAGGTTTTTATTCTGAACGGAATTCCAAAATACAATTTTTAAATACCTTTGTGTCTTTCATAGCATATAAGATATATAAATTTAAAATGTTTTGTAGAGTCACGAACAAAACTGAAACAAAAGATATGTTACTTTCTTATGTCAAAACAAATATTAAAAACAATATGAACATTTTTCTGAATTTAACAAAAACTCACATGTAAAAAATAAGATGGTGTCATTTGTAGAAATGCTATAATTAAGATATGTTGTGTCATGTATCAGTAATCCGGAATTATACAATGTGTCAGATTCGGGTTTTATGTTTTACATTAGTTAATTGAATAAAGATGGAAAGCTCCGTGTGGTTATCTATGTGCTGATGCGACTCTAACGACTTATATGACATGGTGTCAGAAGTTAAGGAACTTAACAAAGAAAGTAAAAGAGCTTGAAAGAGTAAGTTCACAAATAAAACAAAATAAGCAACATGACTGATGTATGCAGTGCAGTAGCTGGCTCAACGCCAAGTCTAAACTGGAACGCGGGAGACCTGCCGAAAGCATGGCAGACATTCAAAACACACGTTGAATTCATGTTCAATGGTCCGCTCAAGAAAAAGAATGAAGAAGAAAAATGCAGTTTCTTGATGATATGGGTTGGTGATAAAGGTAGAGAAATATATGGTACTTGGAATCTAGACAATGATGAAAAAAAATCACTTGAAACTTTATACGGGAAATTCAAGGCATATGTAAAACCAAAGTCAAACCATGTATTTGCTAGGTATAAATTTCAGTGAAAGTGACTCATGTGAACAATTTATCACAGCTTTAAAAGTTGGTGTAAAGGACTGCGGATACCAGAATGCAGACGAGATGGTGAGAGATAGGCTAGTATTCGGAGTAAGGTCGGACAAAATCCGTGAAAAACTGATAAATGAGGGCTCAAATCTCACGTTAGAGAAGGCAATAGACATTGCACGTACTTACGAGTTATCACAAGCCCAACTTAAAACAATGCATGAGCAGGATCCGAAGATTGACATAATAAACAGACAGAAAATAAATCACTATGCCAGTCAAGCCAAAACAAAACCCACACAAGGACCACGGAAACACTATAAGCATCAGAAATCGTTCACAAGTTGCACAAGATGTGGTAAATCTGAGCACGAAAGAGGAGAAACTTGTCCAGCTATTGGTAGACTCTGCAAAAAATGTAACAAGCGTGACCACTATGAGTGTGTGTGTAGATCGAGAGTATCGTATACATCAAAGCACAAATTCAAGAATAAAAGCAACAAATCTGTACACACCCTTCAGGAGGAGTCAGATGATTCAGATGACACTTTATTTCTGGGAATGCTTACCAAAGATGTTAACAGTACGAACGCAGACTGGTCAACAAAACTACAACTTTGTGGGACAATGGTTGAATTTCAATTAGACACAGGAGCAAAATGTAATGTGTTGAACAGAAAAACTTTCAAACAGTTAAAACTTAGTGAAGAACTCAAGAAACCAGCATTTCGTTTGAAGTCGTACTCAGGACATGTGATAGAACCAAGTGGTGCTGCGCAACTTGAGCTGACTCACAAAGGATGCAAATACACGACTGATTTCTACATCATTGACTTGGACGCACCCAACGTCATTGGAGCCCAAACGTGTAAATCGTTGAATCTTGTCCATCGCGTGAATGTCATAGATGAGGACACCCCAGTTTTAAAGACTTTATCTGATATTTTCCCATGAAGTGATTATGCAGATTTATTTCGAGGACTGGGTTGCCTACCAGAAACTCATTCAATCAAAATTGATTCAAGTGTACAACCTGTTGTTCACCCGCCAAGAAAAATTCCCATTTCGTTATTGGATAAAGTGCGCGCTGAGCTTAAGTCTATGGAGGACTCTGGTGTGATTATTTAGCAAACAGAACCGACCCCATGGGTCAACAGCATGGTAGTGGTGAACAATGACAGAAGATTCGCATTTGTATTGACCCAAAGGATCTGAATAGGGCCATATTAAGAGAACATTTTCCATTAAAAACAATAGAAGAAGTCATAGCCAACATGCCAAACGCCAAAGTTTTCAGTAAGCTTGATGCTGTGTCTGGCTTTTGGCAGATCAGGCTGGGTGAAGAAAAATCGAAACTTACAACTTTCAACACTCCATTTGGGCGTTTTCGTTTTACAAGATTACCATTTGGTATAAAATCAGCACGCAGCTAGGTTAAGGCCGCCCATAGGAAATAAGCCTTTAAATATCCCCCAAAATCAGTATATTGCTGATATTTTTTTTATAAGCATGAGTTTTAATTTTATGGAAACTTATACTTATGCATATGTATGTATGGGGTCTCAACCGAGTTCGGCCAACGCGACTTCACGTACATCAGCTGTTTGTCACGTGACATGTTTAAAATTAGAAAAAAAAAGTGTACGGATATAAAGATCGTAAAAGTTCAACGATATACGAATAATTTTTCAGCATGAAATTGATCGTGTTTTCTTTAAGACAAATTTCTCAACCTGAAAAGTGCTGGGAGCAACTTCTCCATGCCCAAGAAATATATAAAATTTAGCCAGCTTTTGATAAACTATGTGCATGTACACTATACTCATTGAAGAAATGTAAAACTACGGAAAAACTCAACAGCGCACAACTTGCTCCCAGCACTTTTCAAAATAGTAGGGACAATAGCTACATGTGTATAAAATATTTTAATTTATAATCAAGCGTATATCGTTGAACTTTTGAGAATTTGGAGGGGATGTACATGTGATTGTAGTACGTTTCTGTATAAAAGTGCATGACTGCGGCTTTATAAGAGACCTAATAATTATCAATTAAATAAGACTGTGAACTATTGATAAATGCATTCAAAAATATTAATAAATTATAGTCAGATCATGCTTACTTAGATTTAATTTTCATATTTTCAGTTCAGCTAATAGCTTTATCTGCGTCTCAAGTTCAGAGAAACTGCGTGTCATACCAGCCTATGACGTCATATCTGTTAGTACAGCGAGATCAAGTTGGCTTTGATTTTACATTCTAATAGTGTTGTAATGACAAGATAAGTTACACATTGATTAATACTTACAATTATCATGAGAAATCAAAGTATGTAAGAGTATATGAAAAAGAAAATTATTATTTATTCGCCGAGATTCATTTGTACAATTTCACCGTGACGTCATAATCGAATTCCCGAGGCTCTGCATACACTGATTTACCTTGGGTAGCCCTTAACCTAGTTGCGCATCTGAAGTGTTTCAGAAAATAACCTCACAGATGGTAGAAGACATACCAGGTGCAGAGGCGATAATCGACGATATTTTGATATGGGGTTCAACAGAACAGGAACATGATGAACGTCTCAAGAAGGTATTGGAAAAGGCCAGAGAGTTCAATCTCAAACTAAGCTTGGACAAGTGTAAGATACGTTGCAAAAGTATGAAATATGTTGGACATATGTTAACAGATGAAGGCGTGAAACCGAATCCAGAGAAAATCCGTGCCGTCATAGCTATGGAAAAGCCAAGCAACAAAAGTGAATTACTTACTTTCCTGGGATTTGTACAGTATCTAGGAAAATTTATGCCTCGGATGTCTGAAGTCAGCACACCATTGCGGAAACTCACTGAAAACAATGCAGATTGGAACTGGACAGCTCAGCATGACGAGAGCTTTGAAACATTAAAAACGATGGCAACGAACGCACCTGTTTTGAGGTATTATGACCCTAAGTTACCACTGACATTATCTGTAGATGCGAGCTCTAAGGGAATTGGAGCAGTTTTGATACAAGAAGGAAGACCTATCGCATATGGTTCCCGTGCTCTTACATCATCACAACAAAACTATGCACAAATTGAAAAAGAAACATTGGCTGTTGTTTATGGATGCCAAAAATTCCACCAGTATGTGTACGGCAGAATGGTACATGTAGAAACAGATCACAAACCATTACAGTCGATATTCAGCAAACCTCTATGTAAAGCACCTATGCGATTACAGCGACTCCTACTAACTCTACAGAAGTATGACTTGAATGTTCAATACAAGCCAGGAAAGTTACTCTACATTGCAGACACACTAAGTCGAGCATACTTACATGAAACAGAGGAAGAACTTGTTCCTGATCTGGAAGTAAACTTAGTCTCACCTGCCACATACTAACCAGTGTCACAGAAACGCTATGTTGAACTACAGGAGAAGACGGCAGATGATGATACTGTACAAATCCCAGGAAAGTAAGTAATTCACTTTTGTTGCTTGGCTTTTCCATAGCTATGACGGCACGGATTTTCTCTGGATTCGGTTTCACGCCTTCATCTGTTAACATATGTCCAACATATTTCATACTTTTGCAACGTATCTTACACTTGTCCAAGCTTAGTTTGAGATTGAACTCTCTGGCCTTTTCCAATACCTTCTTGAGACGTTCATCATGTTCCTGATCTGTTGAACCCCATATCAAAATATCGTCGATTATCGCCTCTGCACCTGGTATGTCTTCTACCATCTGTGAGGTTATTTTCTGAAACACTTCAGATGCTGATTTTATACCAAATGGTAATCTTGTAAAACGAAAACGCCCAAGTTTACTGTACAAATGATATTAATAAAAGTATTTGATGTAGAGTACACAATAAACTATTAAATTCACATAGAGATTCTAATATTAGTTTCTAAAGTCATTGAACTTTAACATGAGAGTTTTTGACTAGAATAAATGGAATTGTGTCCACAATTTTGAATAAATAGAACAATTATCAAATTGTAAACTGTTAACAAATAAACAAATGAAAATATGCTTAATATGGTTTTCACTAGGCATACTACCTTCAAACCATATGTGGGGATTATTCTGCCCCTTGAAAGAAAACATAAAGTAACACAAGTTCATAAAATTTCACAATCACATTTCACAATCAGAAAACTTGGCAGGTACTTTGACGATGCGTCCAGATCTTGTTCGCTGAGGGATGGATGGACACGCTGATGGCCTCCTTCATCAGTCCACCAATAGTCCCCTACAATTTAAGAGATTTTCATGAAATTTAAAATTATGGTACAAAATGACAACATGGTATTGCTTCAATTGATTAACATTTTTTCCAAATACAATGTAATCACATACCGGTATTTTATATATTATAACGGTTACGAGAAGGGTGATGAATACAAGTAAAATATTACAATATTTTTGATTACCAAAGTCATGTGTAGAGCTTCGTCTGCACCTCTCTTTCACCCCCTGTTGACCGAATCCAGCATCTCATTATCTCGGGCAAGTCTTTCTCAGGGTGTAAGTTTCTTAGCAACTGCAATAAGAATGAGCTTTAATGATTATTTTATACTATGGTGATTATATAACTGTATGTCCACTTTAACAAGAGGCCTACGCTCACCTGAGAAACTGGCTAGGTAAAAGGAAACATCAGTTAAGTATTGAAAATTTTGAATGATGGATATGGAGATAACGAACAATATTAAAAAAGTCCATAAAACAATACAAATGCTAAACAATACAATCTGCTTAATTATGTACATGTACATGATTTTCTAGAATGAAGTATGGTCTCTGATTGATCATGTAAAAAATATTTACATTCTATCTATAATTTTTAAAGGTTTAAATATAAGCCATTTCCAGAATTTAAAGACATTTAAGTTCATGTACAATTACAAACAAACATTACATGAAATAACACATGAATTTAATCTTATGATTACTGACACCACTACCATCAGAAGAGTTAGACCTCAAGTTGTCCATCAGTACATGATTGTGGCTGTTGATCGCTTACATGTGGTGGTCTCTGCATCAAATCTAGAGATCAGGACTATGAGTGGTGGAAAAAGGTCATATTCCACGTAACCACCTTTTCAATAGCCAATGCATATACACTGTACATGGAAAATTTACAAAAGAGAGTTAACTCACAGACACTTCTGAAGGAAGATGGTCCATGAGTCCTAAGCTCAGACGGTAAATTTACACAAAATTGCATTTAATATAATGATGGTATATAGCATAGCTTTTAAAAGTCTTCCTTGACTAAGCCAGTATATTCTGCTCCATTTCAAATGTAAAATTTGCTTAAAATGATTTTTTTCGAGTTCAAAGTCACTGGGAGACCTGTAAGGAGATCATTTGAAAGGTTGATTGGCAGACACAAGAGGCTTTCTTTACACCAAAAAATCCTGACATAGTGGCCATTTAATTAACAAATTTGGAAGAGGCAACCTGCTTAATTGGAGCTATGTACATAATTTATTGACAAAGAAAAAGAAGGTTTCGTGCAGAATGAATGCATTTTTACTAAAAAAAAAATCAATAGAGCCCCATCCTAACACCAGACCCCATGGCCATAAAATTCACAATTTTGGAGATACACTCTTGTTTATCATAACTATCTTCTTAGTTACTAAATACCTTGGAGAAGAATTTCAAAGAATTAATGTATTTCAAAAGAGCCCTGTTCTAACACAAGTATCCTTACTCAGAGGCTATGAAATAAACGATTTACGAAGAGGCATTCTTAGTCATGATAATTATGTACTTGGCTAGTTTGTTTTATGCCCAGGCGCAGAGGAGAAGATTTTCAATGAAACAATGCACTTTTATTATATGATCTGTATAGGCCCGCCCTGCCACTAGAACCCCTGACTCTCTGGCCACGAATTTCTCAATTTTAGTAGAGGACTCAATTTTTATTACATTCATGCAAACAGTTTGC